ATAACAACTAATATCAGAAGTCGTATTGAACGGTAATCTTCAGATCTCATAATTTAAAACATACTCGGAGTTCGATCCTCGCGGCGGATACAGCTCAAGTAATCCATTACAGCTTTGCCAAAAAACTAATAAACGCACACATAATATGGTTGATATAGAAGTTAAGATGGAGTTTTTAAATACACAATGGAATATTTCTCAAGAATGAGGTATAAGTTAACTCTGAATATATAGTATTGGCTAAAATGTTTGGATACCGTTCTATAATGATGTTATTGTCTACATGCATGGAACAGTTATTGAGTAAATGCCCGAGTAGTAACAGAGAATGTAGAATATGATCGGAGAAACATGTATGAGTTGTTATTCTGGTCTCTATAAGTTGTTTTGAGCATTTATTTATCAAAACTCACATAAACTTCTGTTGTGTATAAAAGGGTGTGCGTTTGGTATAATCTTTTTCGAAATAGATCAATTCTTTATTCAGACAGTTTCTCTATACTTGGTGTAACGTCATGCTTCATCACGTGCCAGAAGTTATAGGGCATCAAATTGTTCGACTGTTCAGAAATGGTATGGAACAAATGGACAGTGTACTGTATCCAGAATCATGAAACGTCTTCGGACTACAAGAAACGTTGTGGTAGGAAAGTCTGCTGGTAGATGCTGAAAAAAATTACTACCCGAGATGACAAAAACGGCATGAACACATTTATTCCAGGGTATCCAGAAGAACAATAAATAGACCAAATAAAGTTATTTTGCAAGAAGGGCTGTCTGCAAACCGATATTAACCAGAATTAATCGCCATCACTATGTTACTTTGGCAAGACAGGATGCCAGGTTACAGTTAGGACACTGGCAACATGTCATCTTGTCAGATGACTCCTGTTTCTGGCTTATTAAAGCTGATGGTAACAGTTGTGTTCGTCGTTTGCCCGCAGTACAGACGAGGGAAGACAGGAAACACATAGGAGGTGGTGCAGTACATGTTTAGGCAGCTATTCATCCTGACCGAAAGCTGCTCTTCATATCTTCTAGGAAAACGTCAATGGCACCTCCAACAGGCATCACATGGAGAAGATATTTGTATCATATGCTAGGGCAAGATATGGCAATAACTATGTGTTCCAGGATGATAATGTTACTGCCCAAAGTGCGCGTATTGTACAGGATTGTTTTGACCAGGAGAACATTACAAGATTGCCATGGCTAGTAATCCCATTGAGAACTACTGGGAAGAACTGAGCCGAAAAATTGCTTACGACGACTCTAAGTCAGTTAATGTAGTTGAGTTGCAGCTCCTTCTAGTGACACCTTGGAAATAAATCACGGTGGATTGCATCAATAACCTCATCGACACCATGCCAAGTCGCTTTGTGGTGGTTATTATGGTATGAGGAGGACCAACCAAGTATTGAATGTTTAATATGAACTGATTTAAGGTTATATACGCTATTTAAGGGATGTTGCAAAATAAATCACTCTTTTTTCCCGAAGTAATGACGAACTTGGTAGGACCGCGAATATCATCACTCATAAGAAAACATCATTTCAACATACTCTTGGATGATTGACTCTTCAAATTTCGTTTTTTTTCGAAAACTTTCGAATCATGGTGCTTACTAGAACAACGGTGCTATTGATATGTATGCTGTTCTTACATATTTGTGCTGTAGGCTTTACCAGTAATATCAGTATTAACCAGCTCAGCTTGTAGTTGTTCCTTGAAGTGTTGAAACTTCTCTGCAAAGACTGACTTACTTGGTTCCATATTAATTTTTTTATTAAACTCATCATCATTATCAGAAAATGAATCATATTTCAAATGGATGATTTCGGAAACAATGCTAATGTACAGCTTGGATTAGGCATAACTGTATTCTGGATGACTTGCAGTGGTTAGACAAAGAAGAAGGATCCTCAGGAAGTGAAATACTGAATTAAGTTCCTCCAGAGTTGATGCATTCAATCATAAGGCCAATCACATACACTAATTGAATGCTCTTTCATCCCGTATTAATTTGTGAAGATGTTCAGGTATTTTGTGTTGCAACTGTGTAGAGTATATGTAACTAACCATCTTCTCTCTCCATTCACGTACCTTGCGTAGCACTTTCCATGAAATGTCAAGGTAACTGGTGATGTACTCTTGGTTGAATGACAACAAAGTGGCATTTATGAAAGCCAACTGTAATCAATCTCTACACGTTGAGGTGATTTGGTCCATGGTTGTATTTATTGTAAATCTCGATTCACACACATAAGGTAGTTACATGTACATCTGCTGTGTTATGGCTGTTAATGGTCATTTCTGCTGCTGGTAGCAGTAGGTCACCTTTCTCTTGTCCTTTGGGCAACAATTAATAATAAAGAACTATCTTTCCCTGTTCTGGATTCTTGGCTATAACTGTACCAGTAGCATCTGGATTCTTGACTATAACTGTATCAGTAGCATGAATATACATAATAGCTTACTTATTATCAATTTTATCTGAAAGTATAGTCAAAATACAGATGAACTTTAAATGGTAACAGAGACAAATACTGGATACAACCTCTGATTTCACAAGGATCATCATTCATGTCCTCATATATATTTCCTCCAACAATTCAACTTTGAGAATAACGTTTTTGTGTATTGTTCTCTGAGGAAATTTTCAGCATTGCATTCTTTGTCCCAAGTCTTGAAGTATTGCCAACCTCATGAAAACTTCAGAAAATTCAGCTAAGCACTGGTAATATGTATTTGCTGGGCCACGCTGACTGACTTCTGCCAGTCTACAGTCTACCCCTCTTATTGGTCTGCCTTTGATGATTTTCCATCATGTCAGACAACAGTATATGGACTCACCGTTGATACTTTGACCATTATTGGCATTCCCTATTCTGGCTCTTTATTTATTTTCAAACATATTGTACACATCCTGAAAACAAACAAACTGCCTTTCCAGTAAAGAAAAAAAGTTTTTTTCATTGTACCTTCCCGCAGAATGTGGTTTTTCTTGAAGGTTAAAGGGCACATTGAATCCTTTGTAGCAGTTTTATGCCCAAACAGAGTAGTCCAATTACCTGCTAACTTACTATGTGCAACTCTTCCAATCCTAAAAAAATGAATTTCAAATGAGAATTTCTGCTTTATTTCTCTGCGAAATGAATATGTAAATGGGATGGTACGTCACCAGTATCAACATTTTCACTATCCAAGCCTTTCTTTGGTATATCATTATCTGCATCATTGTTCCAAACCTTTCTTTGGTATATCATTTTCTGCATCATTGTTCCAAATCTTTCTTTGGTATATCATTATCTGCATCATTGTTCCAAACCTTTCTTTGGTATATCATTCTCTACATCATTGTTTCCGATTGATATTTCTGCCTCTTCGTTTTGTTCTATTCCAAAATCACTACGTGGATTTCCTGACATTTTCAGTTATCTAAACATTAGCATCAGATTGATCGGATGTTTTAAAAATGTTGCGCAGCAGCTTGATAGGATAAAATATCAGGACCCAACCTGAATACAATATCAGGACCAACCTGATGATAAAATATCAGGACCCAGCCTGATGATGCAATATTAGGACCCAACCTGATGATAAAATATCAGGACCCAACCTGATGATACAATAAAGTTGAAAAACCAAACATGAAAGAGGATACAACTTTTACTAAAAGAGCTATATACTGTTGTTGGTGTAAAGCAATCACAGCCATTTTCTAAAATAACATGATCAGTTAAAACAACACAATTCTGATAAGACGTGTGTTTTTTATATATTCATTTCAATAGAGTAGGCTACCAACATTAGCAGTATTTCGCTCGTATTTCTAAAAATAGCCAGAAATTAACTTTATAACATTAAACTTAAATTTCTTTTTAACAGCCGTTGAATAGGCCAAAATTAAACGTTGGTTATATATTTCTAAATAAATTAAAGTATAACATATCATATTCCGATTGACAATCCTTGTATTTAACCATGAAAATTATTTGCACATGAATGGATTTAGTTTAAGATCACAATAGCCAAACGGCAAACGAAAAACGAACTGGTCCTTTGTTCATATTCCCTTACTCAAAAATTGGAAAACACAAAAAACCCAGTTTGTTTTTTGTTGTTCAGTAACTGAAAAACGAACTGGTCCTTTGTTCATGTTCCCTTATTCAAAAACTGAAAAATGAAAAGGTAACCAATTCGTTTTTCGTTATTAGCAAAATAAAAAATAAATTGGTTCGTTGTTCATGTTTTCTTATTTAAAAACTGAAAAACGAAATAAGAAGAAGCAATTCTTTTGATTTTTCAGAAGCTGAAAAAAAAACTAACAAAGTAGTTCTTTGTTCGTTTCGTTATTCGATGCAGTTCGTTTTTCGTTATTCAAAAAGTGAAAAACAAAGTGGTACTTTGTTCTTTTTCATTATTTAAAAAACAACAATGAAATATAAACTGGCGCGTTTTTCGTTATTCAGTAGCTGAAAAACGAACAACGAACGAATAACGAACAGGCCCCCCAGTGGTGCAGTGGTATGTTTGCGGACTTACAACGCTAGAATCCGGGTTTCGATACCCGTGGTGGGCAGAGCACAGATAGCCCACAGTGTAGCTTTGTGCTTAATTACAAACACATAAACAAATAACAAACAGCGATCTTAAATCTAACTTCAACTAGTTTATGTTTGTATACCGTTAAATTGTTTTACTGGCAACAACGACGTCTAAAATCTTAAGCAATATATATATATCAACAACTGTGCATTTGACCAAGGCATACAAATTAGGTTTTGATATTCTAGCTGACTATAATATGTATATACACTTCGTACATTCCGTTTAATGAACTTATATACATACTAGTTGGAGTATCTGTCCCCTGGACGGAAGTTATGTAAACTCATGATTAATGAAAGGTTATCTTAGGACATAAAAAGTTACTTCCCTTATAGGTAATTGTAAAAAAACGCTCATAAAAACCGTAAAACATTTGTGTGTATCTCCACATGGTCCTAACAAATCTTCATGCCAAATTTGATGAAGATCCCTCAACAGGGGACTAAGTAGTAGTAAAAAAACGCGAAAACGCCCATAAAAACCGCAAAACTGCCCCTTTGTGTGTATCTCCGCTTGGACGCAATGAATGTCTATACCAAATTTGATGAAGATCCATCAACAGGGGACTAAGTAGTGGTAAAAAACGCCCATAAAAACCGCAAAACTGACCCTTTGTGTGTATCTCCGCTTGGACGCAATGAATGTCTATACCAAATTTGATGAAGATCCATCTACAGGGGGCGAAGTAGTAATAAAAAACGCGAAAAAGTCCATTAAAACCGCAAAACTGAAAGTTTGTATGTATCCACGCATGAACCTCCATACCAATTTTGGTGAAGAACCATCCACACCCTGCGAAGTAGTTACATGGACATACAACAGATAACTGACAGTATTATTATATTTATTGAGATTAATAACTGTTGATTTCATTCTAATGATTTAAGGGGATCTCTTTTACATCTGTTGTTATATATGAAGAAAGCTATTATTTGTATGCAGTTTAAGAAACTCTTATTTATATTGACAACTATTAATTTCATTCTAATAATGTAAAGAGTATCAATTACATTGTTTGATATTTCTATTGTTTGTGCGAATAATACACGCCATCACGTGGCTTTTGCCTGAATATTCAGATGTCCGGCTTCTTATTGTTATTCGTTAACTTAATAGGTGAACTTTGTTTGTTAAGTTATAAACAAATATATTGTACTGTATCACTAGTCATGATGAAGCCACAATGTTGAAAAGTTGAGAAAGATAAAGTATTTTTTAAATTATTATATGGAGAGTAAAGATAGGATTTTCCAGCTTTATTTCAAAAATATACAAAAAGGTATTTTAAATATTAAAAAAAGTTTGAAGAGAAAGAAATTCAGTACTGTAAAGCGTTTCTCAATTTCATTCATTTATATGTTGTGTAAAAATGTTTTTTTTTTCAGTTAAGATAATATTACGTGTTTTATTAAAACACGTAGATCAGTATACTATGTTCTGGTTCAAAGGGGACGTTGTTACTATATATACCATTCTTCATCAGTAATGCAACATTATCTTATGAATAACTTAACAAATTTCCCTGCTTTTGTTATCAAAAGTAACAGAGACTAATAAAAAAGAATCATGACCGACAAGTCAATCAACTGACTGTCTTATAATTAACAAATCGTTCAGATATGCTAGATTCTAAGTCAAAGATAGAAGTTTAGTTTGAGAAATATTACATTAATGAAGCTCAGTGTATTTTGATAATTTACCGAATAGATCGATATTTGGGAGATCAAAGAGCGTCTTACAATCAAACATTGAGTTTCACTTTGAAGACAGGAGATAAAAGATCGACAGTATCAGCAGATGATCTGATCCTCGAAAGTGAGAACACAAAGATTTCAATTCCTATAACTGAACAAAATAACACATTACCCACAACCAGGGGAAAAAAGTTCAAATTTATACTAAACGAACAATCTGTCTTTGGGTGGAAACCACAACTGGATGTCTACAAATTCTTGACCATTCTTTCAAATTTAACAGCCTTGAAAATTAGAGCTAACTTCAGCCCAAAAGGTTAGTCTTTGTTTATGTTTTTTAAAAGGTGGTTTAGATCTACAAAATATAATAATAAAAATATATCACTTAGTGAGTTATTGTGATCTAAAAAAGTAAATCTGACATGCAATACATTTCAATGAGACAGTGTATTAGAATGATTCTAAAATTATAAATACTTGTACCATTATTATCTGTAATCATATTTAATAATATACTCTCTTCTATTGTCCCCATTTTCGTTTAGACAATGGTTTTGATGCATAACTGGACAGGATAATGATCACAATTTACTTTCATCCTTTTTGATGGAAAAATTATTCAATTT